TAGCTACTTGCTCCTAGTAGTACGGCCAGGAGCCCCTAGTAGCGTCCCTGCTCCCAGTAGCGATGCCAGGAGTCCCTAGTAGCTTCTTGTTCCTAGTAGCTACTTGCTCCTAGTAGTATGGCCTGGAGCCCCTAGTAGCGTCCTTGCTCCTAGCAGCGATGCCAAGAGCCCCTAGTAGCTTCTTGTCACTAGTAGCTACTTGCTCCTAGTAGTACGGCCAGGAGCCCCTAGTAGCGTCCGTAGCGATGCCAGGAGCCCCTAGTAGCGTCCTTGCTCCTAGTAGCGATGCCAGGAGCCGCTAGTAGTAGCGTCCTTGCTCCTAGTAGCGATGCCAGGAGCCCCTAGTAGCTACTTGCTCTTGGTGCGGCCAGGAGCCTCTCCTAGTAGTACGGCCAGGCCCCTAGTAGCGTCCTTGCTCCTAGCAGCGATGCCAAGAGCCCCTTGTAGCTTCTTGTTACTAGTAGCTACTTGCGCCTAGTAGTACGGCCAGGAGCCCCTAGTAGCGTCCGTAGCGATGCCAGGAGCCCCTAGTAGCGTCCTTGCTCCTAGTAGCGATGCTAGGAGCCCCTAGTAGCGTCCTTGCTCAAAGTACGGCCAGGAGCCCTAGTGGCTTCCTTGCTCCTAGTAGCGATGCTAGGAGCCCCTAGTAGCGTCCTTGCTCCTAGGAGCACGGCCAGGAGCCCCTAGTAGCGTCCTTGCTCCTAGTTTGCTATGCCAGGAGCCGCTAGTAGCGTTCTTGCTCCTAGTAGCGATGCCAGGAGCCCCTAGTAGTGTTCTTGCTCCTAGTAGCGATGCCAGAAGCCCTTAGTAGCGTCCTTGCTCCTAGTAGCGATGCCAGGAGCCCCTAGTAGCTTCTAGCAATGCCAGGAGCCCCTAGTAGCGTCCTTGCTCCTAGTAGCGATGCCAGGAGCCCCTAGTAGCGTCCTTGCTCCTAGCAGTATGGCAAGGAGCCCCTAGTAGGGTCCTTGCTCCTAGTAGCGATGCCATGAGCCCCTAGTTGCGTTCTTGCTCCGAGTAGCAATGCTAGGAGCCCCCAGTAGCGTCCTTGCTCCTAGTAGTACGGCCAGGAGCCCCTAGTAGCGTCCTTGCTCCTAGTAGCGATGTTGTGGCGTCCTTGCTCCTAGTAGCGATGCCAGGAGGCCTAGTAGCGTTCTTGCTCCTAGCAGCGATGCCAGGAGCCCCTAGTAGCATCCTTGCTCCTAGGAGCGATGCCAGGAGATTCTAGGAGCCCCTGGTAGCGTCCTTGCTCCTAGTAGTACGGCCAGGAGCCCTTAGTAGCGTCCTTGCTCCTAGTAGCGATGCCAGGA